CTTTTAACAGCACTTCACCTTTGGCCAAACCACTATACTTCTTGATTCTAATGAAAATCATTTGCAGGGAAAGCTTAATAGCATCCAGACACGTTTTTGTGAAAAAGAAGGGACCATGGTTTTATTAACATTAATGTACCCAAAAGATGGTCTTTATCAATCTAAACCATTTGCCTGCTGTGATGCCATAACTCAAGGATAGAGCAGACCAAATTATGAGGGAATTACTTCCGCATGTTGTCTATAACACTGCTTTCTACAGAGGCCCCATCCCTGGACTCTCTACCGTTACTTACTGGGAGCCAACTTTCTGGTAGTAACTCAGCCAAATTCCCTTGTAGCTCGATCTTGTGTAAAACAGCCATTATCATATCAATTACAAGTGGTGGGGCTTTACCATGCAGACCTGCCCCTTTTTACTCCCCTCAGTATGAGGGATGTGAAGATTTAACCAATAGCTTCACCCTTAACAGATGAGACTTAAGGTTAACTGATGGGGCTGGAGCAGCTCCCTATCCGTTGTGGTCAGGAGGCTACTCCAGTGCCCTGGGGATCCCACTGCAGATAGGAGCTGCTCCAGGCCAGACAACTGCAGTAGCCCCTGCACCCTGACTTCCTGCAGCAGAGCCTGCTGTAGTGTCCTGGCCAGAGCAGCCGCTGTCCATGACAGGCCTGGGTGCCCCACAAAGAGGGTGTGCTCTGACAAGGACAAAAAATAAGGAGTACAGGATCTTTCAAAAATGCCCCGTCTAAACTGCCGTTTTTTTTTTCAAAAAGCCCCGTTTTGGAAAAAAGTGGCGGCTGCCATTATGCAAATGAAGCGTGAGATATTTAAATACCCGCTTCATTTGCACTTTCGATGTGTCTAATTTACATCTCTCTGCTGACAGAGGGATGTAATTTAGACACAGCCTAAATGCACAGCTGAATATCAGATAGCCATCAACCCTACTGATCCTCTGAAACCCTCAGAGCTAACTGCTGCAGAGAGGGTATGCTATCAAAATGGCAGAGATATGCAGCATGAGAAAAATTATTAGTATTATGCTAGTGAGTAGAGTCCCCAACAGAGACTGGGGCCCCATGGACTAAGCAGGAGATAATCCTTTCCCGGAAGTGCTTACAGATTAAATTGGCCAGACAGTCAAAGGATGCCAGGGGATGGAGGCATGGAGCAGTGAGATGAAGTAATTTACCCAAGCTCATACTGCAGGTCTGTGGCAGAGCTGGGAACAAGACACAAATCGTCTGACTCCTAATCTGGAACACTGCCCACTAGACCACAAAATTGTATCAGAATCATACCACCAGCCAAATCTAGCGCACAGTGAAAAAATAACACGTGACCGCCAGATAATCGTTCTCCCCATCCCCAGCCTCCAAACTTGATATTCTATACAAGTACACAGAAGATAAATGCTGTCTACTGTTATTCCTTTAGAGCTTAGGTTGTTGTGAGTTACCTCAAATCAGACCAAGTAATTCTCCAAGCAAAGCCAATTGCTCCATTGGCGAGTAGTTTCCAAGTGTAGGTCCAGTTGGAATCTGGAACCACCAGCCTGATGAATTGCAGCCCAGAGGCTAGTCCTTGGTTACTGGTCAAGGGCAACTCTGTGTGGCCTGATGCAGTTGAGCAAAGTGGAACTACTGAGAGTAGCAAAGCCAGAACTAAATGTTTCTCATTTAAAAATGGTGAAGCTGGTAGCAGCATGTGATTGGTAATGTCTGTGTCTGCGTAAATCAGCAGGAGCATTATAAATAACAAGGGAGTGATAAGTATAATCACACAGACCTTAAAGACTGTAACTCAGAATCTAGATTGTGATAACAACCTCTATCATTGTTCAGGACACGAATGTTTGTAACCTATTGATTTTATTTTGAATACAATTGCAGGGTTCCTTAAATCAACTTCTTAAACAACTAGAAGAGGAAAAAAGAAGTCTCCAGAACCAACTGAAGGATTATGAGCTTAGACTGGAACAAGAAGCAAAGGTCTGTTATTGCCATAACCATTGACCCAGCCCTTTTAGAAGCTGGTACGGCTGTCTGAAATGTCTAAACCATTGATATGGAGAATGTAATGATTCTGTAAAATGAAAAAGTGCTGGGGTGGTACCTACATTCAGACCTTCCTTTTGGATTAACCTTGCTAATTGTTTTGTTTGATTTTCACCATTTACCCATTAATTTACAATGTAGGCTTACCATAAGGCTAATGATGAACGGCGCATGTACCTAGCAGAGATCTCACAGGTAAGTAACAAAAATTTTGCAGCCTAATAATCTTTTTCCTCCCAAGTTTGATACTTGAAGGATCATTGCTGTTTAATTCTTTATTTTTCTTTTTTTCTTCTCCGTACAAATCTAGAGTTTTATTCCAGTTAAGGAAAGCCAAGAATAGCTCCCTTTAGAGCCAGGCCTCAGTCAACTGGAATGATTGCTAGAAAGTTGAGACAGTGAGTGAGTGTGTGTGTGTGTGTGTGTGTGTGTGTGTGTATACGTCCCACCCCCTTATTTACACCAGACTTCTTGACTTACATTTTCAAACCCATTATATTGTTAATCAGAGCACTAAAATAGACAAAGATTCAGTAACCATCACATCTTAACCATTGTACCATCTAGCCCTGCCCTGATCAGACTTGGATGGCACAGAGGTTAAAATGCCAGTGCACAGTCTATATCTACTCATCCACTATTACTACCATAGATGGAATTGAGCTGATGGCATCAATGGCGTAGAGTCTTAAGAATGAAAGGCCAGCGTACATATCCTGTCAAAGAGCTGACTACACTGTCCTTATAAAGCATCTAGTCTCTGCTGGCCCAGTGAAAAGAACTAAGCTCAGGTTATATATACTTAGATGTGTATATTGTAGCATGCTATTCGTAAGCAGTTCTCAGTCTGATTTGAACTTTAAAAAAAATGTAATGCAAGTTCAGCTAAAGCATTGTTTTGACTAAATATACGTAACCTTGTATGGTAAAAGATATCACTGTTATCAGGTGACCTGTCTTAAGGTTTTTCCAACCTTTACTAGAAGAAAAGCTCTGATGAACCACTGGCTCTTGATAATGTCATATTAACTGGTCATAGTCAACCCTAAGGGACCACTGTACCATCTAATTCTGTTGGAAGCATTGGAAGTTTGTCTAGGGTTGATTGAACACAAGCACCTAATCCTTTCACACACCACTGTCTTTATCTACATTAGGGGTCTCTTCAGCCGAGCAAAAGCAAAATACAGTAAACTTCCGATAATCTGGCACCTTTAGGACCCAGGGGGTGCCAGATTATCAGATATGCCGGACTATCAGAAGGGGGGGCTATGAGGGGTCTGGAGTGGGATGGGAGGGGATGCCACCCCAGACCCTTCATAGCCCCCCCTTAGGATAGTCCGGCTCTGACCCAGGCGTCCCTGATTCAGCCGCTGCTGATCAGTTTCATCAGCAGCTGAATTGGGGATGCCTGCAATAGAGCAGCTGGGGTGCTGCCAGGTTGATCCCGCAGCACCGAGGGGCGGCGCTACGAGACCACCCCCGCAGCCCCCCAGCTGGTCTGCCCCAGGCGTCCAGATTCAGCCGGCTGGTGAAACTGACGCTGCTGGTCAGTTTCAGCAGCGGCTGAATCCCGATGCCTGGGGCAAAGCAGCTGGGGTGTTGCCTGGTTGGTCCCGCAGCCCCGAAGGGTAGCGCTGAGACCAACCCGGCAGCACCCCAGCTACTCTGCTCCCAGCTTCCCCGATTCAGGTGCTGGTCAGTTTCAGCAGCAGCTGAATGGGGGAAGCCTGTCCAGCTGCCCCAGCATTTCCGGGTTCCTGATGGTGCCGGACCATCAGGAGTCCCAGAGCATTGGATGCCGGACTAATGGAGTTTTACTGTATCTTCCCAAATGCAGCGAGAGAGTGACAATAGATGTGTTGATCTATTGATTTACATAAAAACATATTAAATCACTGTTAAGGTTTTGCCTTAGTATGCAAGTTTGAAGTTGGAGTACATATTGCTTTTGGGGGGACTTCTACAGGACTGCATGCCTGCAGAAAATGCTTCCTTCTACCCCCGAATTCCCATGCTTTCCTACAGGAAGCAAAGGGAAGGAAGGAGGGAGTTCAGGCAGGCAAACCATTAGCACAGGGTTTTTGGGGGGAGGGGTTGCCCCCCCAAAGAGAGGCATGGCATGGGAAAGCGCATGGGGTTATGTGCCAGTGGCTCCCCCCCATGTCTTCAAGTGTAGAGCTGCTCAGCTAAAGGAGGCTGCAGTCTTGGTTCTGCTGACTCTGCAACCGATTGCTGCTTTCTGGGTCCTTATGCCAGTTGAGTTCCCCTTCTGTGTTCTGTGAGCCTTCCTGTTTTCTGTGCCACAGTGTGTGTCCATGGTGGGGCGAGAGCAGGGGGAGTGGGAGGCATGTGGGAAGAAGCAGGGGGATGGGAGATAAAAGAGGATAGAGGAATCACGGAGGGAAGCAGGATCCTGGCTTGCGATGTCACCTTGGCAGAAGCTGGAGCTCCCCCATTAAGCAGGGCCATTCAATCCTCACCCTGACAAGCCCTACCCTCTAATATATAGACCCTCCACATCCAGACCCCTCTCACTGAGCCCCAGCTAGCTGCACCTGGACCCCCCATTATCTCAGACTCCCCTCCAGCCGAGCTCCATTTACTCATACCCAGACCCCTGCTGAGCCCCAGCAATCTTCACCTGATCCCCTGTAGAATCCCATTGCCCCAGCATGCAGATGCCCCCAATGAGCCACTGGGCAGCTAGATCTCCCACTGAACCACCTGCACCTAGACCACGCCACACAGAAACCTCGCTCCCCAGACCTGGACCCCCCCACACTAAACCTCTCCACACTTGGGTCCTGCTGGTCTGAGCCTGTCCATTCACACATGGTGCATCCGGCTTAGAGAGACAAGGCCTAAGGATGTTTCTGGGACAGGCCCAGCCCTTGCACTGTAAGGGTTGGGTGCACCTTTAGTGTCAAGTCCTTGTACCAGAGGAGGTGGTAGGATTGGCAACCGTCTAATCACACAAAACCAAACACCCTTTTCCTACCCTCTGCCTCCTCCGTGAGACCCCACTTCCTCTCACTCCACCTCCCCCCCCCCCCATTGCTTGCTTTTTCTCATCCTCTCTCACTTTCACTGGGATGGGGCAGGGGTTTGGAGTGTGGGATGCGGGAAAGTCTCTGGGCTGAAGCCAAGGGGTGTTGGAATATGGGAGGAGGCTCTGGACTGAGCCTGGGATAGGGAATTGGGGTGCAGGAGGGAGCTAAGGGCTGGGTCAAGGGTGCAAGAGGAGATGCAGGCTCTGGGAAGTAGTTTGGGTGTAGGAGGGGGCTCTGGGCTGAAGCGGGAGGGTTGGGGTGCAGGAAGAGATGCAGAGAGCTCAGGGCTTGGGCAAAGGGTTTAGGGTGAGGCATATGGGCTCTGGCTGGGCAGTACTTGCTTCAGGTGGCTCCAAGTCCCAGTCAGTGGCACAGCAGGGCTAAGGCAGGTTCTCCGAGTGCCCTGGCTCTGACAGTCTCTCAAAAGTGACCAGCACATTCCTCCCTGTGGCCCCTATGTGGGAGGGCCAAGTGGCACTATGTGCAGCCCTAGCAATCCCCATGGCTGCAGTTCCCAGGAAATGGGATCTGCGGAGTCAGTGCTTGGGGCAGGGGAAGCACACGGAGTCCCTAGGCTCTACCACTACCACACACTGTAGAAGGGTTGGCAGCCCTTGGAGGTGGGGCTTTGAGGTGATCTTCCATCTCACTGCAGCCAGTGGCCTGTGCTCCATGCTGCCATGCTGAACCCATATCTATTTATAGACAAACACATTTTGCAGTATTTTAAAAATTGTACACAATTTTATTTTTTGGTACAGAAATCCTTCATGGAGCAGTGGAACAAATTGTTGCCAGCATTGCAGACAACATGAAGGTGGAAAGGAATGCAAGGATACTTTCCCCTTAACTTCTTATTTTCTTTCTTAAATGGTTTGGGTGAATGGGGTGTGTCCTGTTACACCCATAATATAGTCTCCCAGAGATGGGGCTGGCAGCAAGTGCAATCCGGCCCCATTCGGGGGAGCCCCCTGCACCCTATGCGGTTGCCTCTGTATCCCGCCTGGGATGCCAGGTAGGAGCCAGTCTGCAATAGGAGCCAGTAAAAAAACAGCTCCCCTCACAGACTGGCTGCCTGCAGTGCAGATACAGAGGCAGCAGTGCAGGGCTGAACAGCAGCCCCTGACCGTGGGGGTCTAAGCTCCCCATGGACAGAGGTTGCTGGGATAGGAAGGGGCAAAGGAAGCTGCAGTGAAGCAGCCTCTGTCCGCGGCAGGCCCACGCTCGCTGTGGACAGAGGCTGCTCTGGCAGCAGTGTCAGTCTGTAGGGAGCTCAGATACCCTGCGGACAGAGGCTGCTGCTGTGAAGCAGCCTTTGCCCATGGCCAGTGCCTGCCACAGGTGAAGGCTGCTTTGTGGTAGTCTCCCCTGTCCCTCCCCCCACATGGCTGCTTCTAGTAGAAGCAGCCACATGAGGTGGGGCTGTTGGCACTGCAGTGCTGGTGCTGGGGAGAGCTGGATACCCCCAGTATCCGCTCCTCAAGTTCCCTGTCAGCAAGGCTGCAGCAACTTCCTATTTATGGGCTCACGGTAAAGCAGGTACCAGCACGTGGTGTGTGGAGTCAGGCAGGGAGCTGAGGGAGAAACCAGGTAGTAGCTTCCCTCCCAGTGTATCCTAAAGAAGGGGGGAAGTCTGCCAGCCTTTCAGGAACATGGGGCTGAAGCCCCAACTGCCAGCAACCCCTCCTCCCCCGGGCTGAAACCCTTTTCTTGAGTGCCCCCCACTGCTGGCTGCAGCCCTGTTTCCCAGGCTGCCCTTCCCGTGGGACTGAAGCCTTTTGCTGCCATGGGGCTTAGCCCTGTCCCCAGGCTGCTGTCCCCATGGGACCAAGGCCTTTTGCTGCTGTGGGGTTGAAGCCCCATTCCCAGGTTGCTCCCACCCACCGTGGTGGCTCAGGCCCAGTTCCCGGGTGGCCTTCACTTGCCACACGGCTGAATAGCCTTTTCCCTGCCTTGGGGCTCAACCCTGATTCCCAGGCAACCCCCAGCTGCTGCAGGGCTGAAGCCCTTTCCCCACCATAAGGTTCAGCCCCGTTCTTGGTCTGCTCCTGCCCTGCAGCGATCAGCCCCGTTCCTGGGTGGCCCTCACCATGAGGCTGAATCCCCATTCCAGGGCAGCCCCAGCCATGGAGCTCAGCCCTCATTGTGGGTCTGAAGATTTGAAACCCCATTCCTGAGTGGCCATGGAGCGCCGCCCCATTCCTGAGTGGCCCTTGCTGCAGGACTGAAGCTCAGCCCCCGCCCCATCCCATTTCTTGCCGCCCTCCACTGTGGGGCAGAAGCCCTGAGTGCTGGCAGCCCCCTCTTTGGGCTAAAGCCCCGAGCACCGACAGCCCCGCCCCCTGGTGTCTCTGAATTGGCCATTTCATATCTTTTAGAGTTATTGCTGCCATCAGTCTGCAGAACATAAGAACAGCCATACTAGGTCAGACCAAAGGTCCATCTAGCCCAGTATCCTGTCATCTGACTGTGGCCAATGCCAGATGTCGCCAAGGGAATGAACAGAACAGGAAATCATCAAGTGATCTCTCTCCTGTCATCCACTTCCAGCCCCTGAAAAACAGACCAGGGGCACCATTTCTACTCATTCTGGTTAATAAGTATTGATGGATCTATCCTTCATGAATTTATCTAGTTCTTTTTTGAACCCTGTTAAAGTCCTGGTCTTCACATCATCAAATGCAGGCTTCAGATGACAGTTTATGTTCTGAAGTAGTTTACAGTAGAAAGGGCCAGTTCCTATTGTTTTATAAAATGAAAGATTAAATTTTATAACATAGCTAGATTTATACTGCCACAGATTGTTGCTGTGGAATACATAGAAGCCTAAGATACAAATTGGAAGTTTCTGTTTATAGCACTGCTTATTCTGAAGGAGAACTTGCTGTCTTACATGATGTAAAAGCAATAAATTAGCATGATTCTCGAGAACTGTGCAATGAAGTGACTGTCAGGAATTGCCAGTATACTTAACTGGGATGATCAGTTGTAATTAGCAGTATTTCCATGTGACTTTAACAGGGGTTCACTTTGTATTGTCATTGCTGCCATAGGGAATGAGGAAAATTGCTGAAAACAAATTTGCAGTTTTAGATTAGTAAATACTGATGAATCTGGAACTGATAACATGAAGATGCTGTGGGAAGAAGAAAGTAGTAAGTTAGAAAATAGTGTTATATCTGAACACAGCTAATGTGTGCCAAGTGTTCTTTTATATTTACATTATTTAGGCCATTGCTCTGAAAGACACTTAAACACAAGGCTAACTTTAACCACGGTAGTCTCGTTGCTTCAAGTTAGGAATGTGCTTCAGTACGTTGCTGATTCAAGACATTGGCAATAGATTTTGCAATCCATGCTGTGCTTACTCCTTGAGTAATTCCACTGATGTCAAAATCAGTCATGGGTGGTAGAATCTGACACCTTTTTTAATTGTACTAAACTTCCCACTGTCTTAGATTCTATCCTATGGAGTTGGCAGAGGCTGAGGTGAAGGGGGAATCACCACTCATGGCTGACTAAGCAGTATTTCCATACGTACCGAGGCAAATGTAGCACCAAGAGAATTGTTGTTTTCTGGCAACAATCTATTCCATAGATATTTCATCTTAACTGTACAACTATAGATAATTCCACTTTTGTTATTTTTCCTATCATGTTAGCGCTCTCTTGTGTGCTTAGTAAATCAAATGCAATAGAATCTTTTTTCTTATTAATAATTATTTTAAATAACAACATGATGAATGCTTTCCCTCTAGAATAATTTTACACCTTGTTTGGGATCATCTCTGTAGTTTTTAGTGGAACTGGAGGAGGAGCAGAAAGGCTGTTGTATGGAATAATAGTTTCTTGTACATGTCATTTTCTGTTACCTTGTTTTTTTTCAAACTATATTAATCTTTTATGTGTGTTTTTTACATTTTCTGGTTCCGTAAGTTGCTAATGGTTTCTTTAAGTGATACACTTAAATAAATGTAAAGATTTCACAAGATATAGTATTCACCCAAAAGGCATTACCTTTTTTTTTTAATTCGAAAAGACTTGTTCTCAGATTACATGCTATAGAGCATTGATGGTCAAGGGAACCTTTCCTTGTGACTTGCAAAATGCAGTAGTTTGAGAACCAAGGAGTGGGGAATTGGAATAGGTTTTTAAGACGATTTTTTCTTAAATTGATCCACGTATTTTAAAAAATTAAAAATTTTAAAAATATATTCTCTCATATAAGTCAGTGTCTTTAGCTAGTATTTCCTGTAAGTGAATGATTTAACAGTTCTTTCCAGAAATTAAATCCAGGCAGCTTTTATTCTATCTTTACATTTATGCTCTCTGAAAGTGTCTTTGTTTGAATTATAGTGGACTTTGGTAGTATAGTGTTAGTGATAGTAGTTGTCTAATGTAGTACATACTAGGGATGTAAGCGACTAGTTGTTCCCGCCCCCTCATCCGGCTGCCTCTATCAGAGGTAGCGAGGGGGGAGCAGTAGATGGTGCTGGGGGGAGCCAGTTTAAAAGCTGGTTCCCCCCCTGCACTGTCTCCATGAGGGACAGGGGAGTAGTGGGGACTCATGCCCAGTCCCAGATGTTGCACCTCTGCTTTTAAATTTATTAAGAGCCTGCCAGCTCTTAATACATTTAAAAGGCTAAAGCGCAGCAGGAGGGTCCAAGCATGAGCCAGGACAGCTGATTCTTGGCTCACATGGGATCCCCCTGCTGCACACCAGCCTTTTAAATGTATTAAGAGCCTGTAGGCTGTTAATACATTTAAGGGTGTGTCTAGACTACATGGCTCCATCGACGGAGCCATGTACAGTGAGCCCTCGCTACTTCGCGGTTCGACCATCGCGGATTCACGACTTCGCGGACTTTTTTCATTACTTGTCTCCGACCAGTAGCATCTTCTCGCGGCCACTTTGTTTGCCGCTCTCTCGCCGGGTAGATGCTGCTACGTTACTGTGTAACTTTAACCTGTGCTGTGCGTGACTGTTTGAAGTTGAACTTTTTGTTGAACTTTCTGTTTAACCCCTGCAATGGCTCCCAAGCGTTCTGCTTCTGCTAAGGCTGGTAGTGAGCCTAAACGCCACCGAAAAATGATGACGATTGCTGAGAAGGTGACACTTCTCGATATGTTGAAAGAAGGCAGAAGTTACGCGGCCGCAGCCCGCCATTTTGGAGTGAACGAATCCACCGTTCGCTACATTAAGAAGGACGAGGCGAACATTAGAAAGACGGCTGCCATCACCTTTAGCAGGTCAGCGAAGCGAGTTGTTACTGCTCGTAATAAAACGATCGTCCGTATGGAAGGTGCTTTAGCAATCTGGATTGCCGACTGCCGGAAGAAGAACATAGCCTTGGATACGAACACCATCCGAACCAAGGCTTTGAGTTTGTATGAGAATTTTGCGGCAAAGGAACCTCAAGACGACGATGGCGAGGGAGCTAACTCTGCTGCAGTTCCCTCACTTATCAACTAATCGTCTAGTCCAGGGGTCTCCAAACTTTTCAGCCCGAGGGCCGCATTAACTATCAAACAGCAGTTCGGGGGCCGACTACACACTTGAGGTCCAAATAAAAAACAATCAAAACATGGATGTTGTTTTTAATTATTTATTTAATATTATTTTATTCAGTTATTATTTAATAACACATTCATACACTACACATGAACACCTGTATTAGTGTGAATGGTGAAATTGTTTCCTGGATGCCAAAATAGCAGACATTTCTGGCTTTAGATTTGTTGTCCCTAACATCAACAGTGACCTGAGATTATCATCGGACAAGTTTGTTCTCAAATTGTTCTTCACGTATTTCATTCTTGAAAATGTTTGTTCACACAGGTATGTTGTTCCAAAGATTGAAAGGTACCTTGATGCAAAAGTTTTGACATTAGGAAAGTCTTCCTTGGGCAAAAACTGGTAAAAACCCACCAGTCCTATTTTGAACTTGTCCCTAAGGAGGTCATTTGCTTGCAACTCAATGACTTCCAGCTGCAGTTCATCTGGGCAACTGGCCACATCTGCTTCAAATGGGTTTTGAAACAATCTCACTTCTTCTGCCTTTGAATCCAAAAAGGTCTCCACGGGCCGGATGAGAGGGCCTCGCGGGCCGCATCCGGCCCCTGGGCCGTAGTTTGGAGACCCCTGGTCTAGTCAATGGAAAATGGACTAGTCGATTAGTTGATTAAACTAAATTTAACATCCCTAGTACATACATGGAAGCACATTAGAAATCAGTTTATTTGTTAAAAACAATCACAGATGCAACGGTTTGCTATGGTAGGTTTTTTCCTCCAATGAAGAATGCATTCACATTGTTTTAAAATGTAACATTAAGATTTAAAAATAATCCAAACCATGTGCTTTGTGTTTAAATGGCTTCAAAGAGATCCATGGCTTCACACTTTTAGAAAAAGTAATCTATGGCTCCCTAGTGTGGCCTGCTATGTAGCCTTGCCTCATGTTTCTACAAAACCTCTCTGTGTATCTGAGAAGTTGGCAGCATCGTGTCATTTTTCAGCAAGCACTCCCCAGCCCACGAGCCACAAAAGCACTAATTTACTGCAAAGTAAGTCTGAAGCATTTCACGTTGCTTTCCTCTTCGTTGTATGGAAACCCCCTACAACATGATGTTTCTGAGGTGGCAATTGGACATGAGCCTGGAGGAGCTCTGCATCAGGGGGATACCATCAGCCAGTGGAGAACAGAAATGACCGTTTAAATCTTCCCCACATTTTTGCTTTTTATTACCAAAGTTTTATAACTGTGTCTTGGATTTTATATATCACAGTACTGTAGTGGGGCCCTGTAGAGACAGCAGGGAGTCCCCAATTCAACAGAGGACTTAAATATGTACTCAATTCTTGCTAACTCCAACTGACATAATCTTAATTATGTGCTAGGCTTAAACATGGACGTAAATTCTTTGCCGAGTCAGGGTCATAGTGCTTCTCTTTTCAGAATCAATCTGAGGAAAGTTTATGCTTTTCTAACAACACACATACTTGGAGGATAACTTGCTTTATAAAAATTGAAATATTGCAGACATCAGCTACGCTTAAAATTGCTGAGAGGCAGAAAACAGATGCAGTGCAGATCAAGAGGGAAAACCAGATCCTGAGGTAAATGTTTCATATTCTCTTTCTTTTCTGACTTAATACATTTATTTCTACTATCCTGTGACTATCCTAGCCTTCTATCTAAGATAAAGATTCCTTACATTGATGTCCATATCACTCTTGACACTGATTTTGAATCCGCTTATTACCTAACATAAACTATTACAAAAATGAAAATATGATATTCATACAATGTACACAGCCTTTGTGGAACCTCACAGAAAGTTTTGGCTTCCATCCATATCAATCTCAGTCAAAAATAGGCCTTTTTCCTAAATCTGCTCTTACATGCTCCAGTCCATTAACAGTAATGTAATTAAATGCTCAGGCTGGTTCTTCTTAGTCAATAGAGATTGTACAGCTGCCTAATGAATGAGAATGTGAGTAATTTTAGATGACCTCATATTACGACCTAATTGCTTAATAAAGCTAGTTTTTAGTTATACAGGTGCAAAAGAATTTCCCCCAAATGTTTAAATATGAAGAACTCCAAGCTGTTTGGGGGAATTTAGAACATAAAAATGTGTCAGAGTTTAGCTCTGATAAGCCAAGTTTTAAATTGAAGCAGATTCTTTACTGAAAATGGAAACACTTACAAATCTTAGCTGTATATTACCATTGAGCCATGATACAAATTGAGAACAGCTGTCTCATCATTAAATTATAAAAACTAATTTATATGAAAAATAGTTTTCCCACCTGTTTTCTATTTTAACCTCTCACTCAGGGTCATGAATAAGATATATATTCTGCAATGTTAACTATACTCACTGATTCCCATTCTTTGGTCTCATGATGAGAGTTCAGTAGATTATTGTTATTAAAAGTAAGGTTTAATGTCTTCTACTAAGAATTCTTAAGATCAAACATGAATTGTATGGGTCTTAAATATTCAGTGACTGCCTGCAATTTTATATAGCTCCTGTGGAGGTGGCAGAGAGGACAGAGCCAGCACATTTCTCCCTTAGTCCATGTGGAGCATGGGTTCCCAAACGAGGGGGCGTGAGGCAACCCAACCTTCCCTCCTCCATCCCCCCTCCCTTCAAGTTTTGCTGCTATTTTTGTTTTTTGGCCCCATTTCCTTTTTTTTTTTTTTTTTTGCTCAATAAGTTTTGCTGCTTTCGGGGGAGGGCGTGAGGGTTTCTCAAAAATCAAAAAGGGGGCATGATGCCGAAAAGTTTGGGAACCACTGTGAAGGGACTAAGGAAGCGAGTAACAACCAGACGTCGAATACTGGCTGAATAGTAGCACTGTTTTATGTTCTTAAAACCAATATTTATTTGGGAGTATTATGATAGTTGTTGTGTGTAATTTTTTCATTAAAGGAAAAATACTTTCCTTTAGTTCTGGAGAGATGACATGTTGTAACAGATTACCACTGCATCACCTCCTCCTCCAAAAGATGTTGGATTTGTAACTTTAATCAGCACTTTTCAAATTACTTTATGCACACAATGGGATTTCTTTACTTTTTGCTTGAAAGGAACTGACAGAGAAAGTAGAGTATGAGATGTGTTGAAACACAGAAATCCCTTCAGGATTGTCCCCTTACTGCCTTTGTAAAAATCCATGGTACATCCACATCTTGAATACTGAGTACAGATGTGGTCACCTCGTCTCAAAAATATGGCATTGGAAAAAGTTCAGAAAAGGGTAATGAAAATGATTATGGGTTTGGAAAGGCTGCTATGTGAAGAGAGATTAAAAAGACTGGGACTTTTTAGCTTAGAAAAGAGGAGACGGGCTGGGGAGGGGACATGATAGAGGTCAATAAAATCATGACAGGTTTGGAGGAAGTGAATAAGGAAAAGTTATTTACTTGTTCCAACAATATAAGAACTAGGGGTCACCAAATGAAATTAATAGGCAGCCGGTTTAAAACAAACAAAAGGAAGTTTTTCTTCACTTAGTGCGCAGTCAGCCTCTGGAACTCCTTGCCAGAGGATGTGGTAAAGGCTAGGACTTTAATAGAGTTCAAAAAGAGCTAGATAGATTCATGGAGGTTAGGTCCATCAAAGGCTATTATCCAGGATTGGTGGGAATGGTGTCCCAAGCCTCTGTTTGATGGAAATGGATGACAGGAGAGGGATCACGTGATGATTACCTGTTGTGTTCCCTCCCTCTGGGGCATCTAGTATTGGCCACTGTTGGCAGACAGGATACTGGGCTGGATGGCAACGGCGCAATGTCAGGTTGACGGTCGGTTGCTAGCAGAGTGCCCCAAGGATCTGTTCTAGGACCGGTTTTGTTCAATATCTTTATTAATGACCTGGATGAGGGGATGGATTGCAACCTCAGCAAGTTCGCAGATGACACTAAGCTAGGGGGAGAGGTAGATTGGCTGGAGGGCAGGGATAGGGTTCAGAGTGACCTAGACAGATTAGAGGATTGGGCCAAAAGAAATCTGATGAGGTTCAACAAGGACAAGTGTAGAGTCCTACACTTGGGACGGAAGAATCCTAAGCATTGTTACAGGCTGGGGACTGAATAGCTAAGTAGCAGTTCTGCAGAAAAGGACCTAGGGATTACAGTGGATGAGAAGCTGGATATAAGTCAACAGTGTGCCCTTGTAGCCAGGACGGCTAATTTCATATTAGGGTGCATTAGGAGGAGCATTGCCAGCAGATCCATAGAAGTGATTATCTCCTTTATTCAGCTCTGGTGAGGCCACATCTGGAATACTGGGTCCAGTTCTGGGCCCCCCTCTGTAGAAAGGATGTGGACGGTTTGGAGAGGGTCCAGCGGAGGGCAACCAAAATGATTAGGGGGCTGGAGTGCATGACCTATGAGGAGAGACTGAGGGATTTGGGTTTGTTTAGTCTGCAGAAGAGAAGAGTGAGGGGGGATTTGATAGCAGCCTTCAACTTCCTGAAGGGAAGTTCCAAAGAGGATGGAGAAAGGCTGTTCTCAGTAGTGACAGATGGCAGAACAAGGAGCAGTGGTCTCAAGTTACAGCAGGAGAGGTCTAGGTTGGACATTAGGAAAAACTATTTCACTAGGAGGGTGGTGAAGCACTGGAATGGGTTACCCAGGGTGGTGGTGGAATCTCCATCCCTAGAGGTGTTTAAGTCTCAGCTTGACAAAGCCCTGGCTGGGTTGATTTAGTTGGAATTGGTCCTGCCTTGGGCAGGGGGCCGGACTTGATGGCCTCCTGAGGTCTCTTCCAGCTCTATGATTCTATGAAAGGATGTTGTGAAGACCAGGGTTAAAAAAGGAACAAAAAGGAGAATAGGTCCATCAATGTCAATTAACCAGGATGTGTAAAAATGGTGTCCCTAACCTCTGTATATCACAGGGGTGGGCAAAAGGGCCTCCATGGGCTGGATCCAACCCGTCAAGCAGGTGGATCTGGCCCGCAGAGGCCCTCCTGCTCCCCCATCCTCAGGCCAATTAGGGTTTGGGGGCAGGGAAGCATGCGAAGCTTCCTCCCGCCCTTCCAGGAGCACGTGGCACTTTGAAGTGCCACGTGCTACTTGCAGGGCAGGGGAGTGTCGAGGAGGCTTCACACACTCCCCCGCCCCCAAGCCAATCCTTTGATTCTTATCCACTTCTTTTAACTATCCAGTCTTTAGTTGCTTGCTGATTACCAGTTCTGCCTATTTAGTTTTCCCTTTGATATTTTCATACCCTCTACTCCTTATTTCCCACCCCCTTCAATTTTTTTCCTTCCCCCCTCTCCCTTCTCCCCTGTTTATTTTGGGTCTGCACATCCTAAATTCAAAACTCCGGTCATCTGAAGAAGTGGGCTGTGCCCACAAAAGCTCATGATACCACCTATATGTTTTGTTAGTCTATGAAGTGCTACCAGACTATTTATTGTTTTTTTAAGTTTATCCTGTACAGAGTAACTCAGCTACCCCCTGAAGCTTCTTCAGAGTTCTTTGTATCCCAGTAGAGTGGACCAGGCAGTTTCAAAAGCCAATTGAAGACAAAAGACTGCTTCTCACTGTTTAAATAGGATTCCTACCCTGGGGGAAAATCTTTACTTGGGATTCCCCACCCCATGGAAAAATACCAGGTTCAAGATAGATTCCAGTACCAGGTGGCATGGTCACATGTCTTTCTAGGACCAACCACCGTTTGGGCTTACAAGACAAACAGAACCACGGTTTGAATCATTAGGTACTTGAAGTATTACTAATGGCCCTCATTGGTACATTTACTACTAGAAACAGACCCACACTTCACTTTATGCACAAGATTCTCACTTTATGCACAAGAATCTTGCATTCACAAAAATAGGGTATACAGATTCAGCAGATTATAATTGTAAAATTGATGTTACATGACCTGTTTTGTGTAAAACATCTTTGAATTATATATATTCATAGTCATAAACCAGTTTTCATAGAGCATGGGGGGCTGTGACAGGGAAGTTGCATTGGCTTCTATGGCCAATTGCTTAGAGCCTGATGAGTTTCCCACCTTGGTTCTACTGGGCAGCTCATACCAAAGAGTAGTGATATGTCAGTGTGCAGGGCCAGCCTTAGGCCAATTCGACCGATTCCCCCAAATCGGGCCCCGCGCCTAAAGGGGCCCCGCGCCCTGAACCCAGAAGTGTGCTGGAAGCCTTGGGCGACGAGTTACTATTCAGAGCTGGGGCCCTGCTTCAGCAATATTTGGAGCTAGGTCTCTCCCTCGGCTCTGCCTAGAGTGGGCCCCGGCCCCCCCTGCGCAGCCTCCCACCCCGACCCCAGAGAGTTCCCCTCGGCCCCGGCCCGGCCCTGCCGTGCGCAGCTCTCGGTGTGGTTCCCCCTTGCCTGCTGCTGCTGCTGCCATGCGCAGCATTCTCAGGTGGGTGGGGAGGATGCCCGGGCGTGGCATGATGTTACAGCCCAGGAATTTAAAAGTGCTTGGCGTGGCATGGCCTAGCAGCTCCAGGTTTGGAGTCCGGGGCCCAAGAACAGACTCCGGCCCCGCAAAGTGGAAGGCAGAAGGTAGGGGAGGGGGAAAACTAGAGGGAAGGATGGGAGAGGAAGGGGCTTGTGCGGAGGGGAGAGGGGAGAGGGCTTGTGCAGAGGGGGAGTGGGGGAGAGTAAGGAACCAAGAGACAGGGTGGAGGAGAGACAAATGCCAGGGGGACAAGTGCAGACAACGAGAAAAAGGGCAGGAGGGGAAGTGTGAGTGGGAGGGGGGACAGGGTGATGCTGGGAGAGGGGGTTATAGTGGGGAGGAGGAGATACTGGGAGAAGGCTTGAAAGAAGGGGTGGGCATGAGGAAGGCAGGGATGGAGCAAGGCATGTGTGAGGGCACAGGGGCATGAGGAGAATGGGGACAGAGGGTGGTGAGGAGGTGGGCATCAGGGAAAAAGAGGGCAAAGGTGGCAAGGGCAGTGAGGGAAGAGGGAGGCACCAGGAGGGTGCAGCGCTAAGGGAAGGTGCAGGTACCAGGGGATTCTGGGAAGAAGCAGAAGGGCAGACACCTGCAGGGGAGGGACCAGCACCAGAGGAGAGAGGCAGGGCAGGTGTGTGGAGGGAGGTGTTAGGAGAGAGGATGAGGAAGGGTGGCTCACATGATCAGAGTGGGCTGGTGGAGGGGGGCAGGTCTCAGGAATACTCGTGAAATGAGGAGTAACAGTTAATTCGAACTAAGGAATTAGTTCAAGTTAATGTTTAAGTGCCGCGTCTAGCCGCGGGCAGTTAGTTCGGACTAAGAAGGATTTAAAAATGGCGGCACCCGGGAACATGCAAATTAAGACCAAGATATTTAAATCCCAGGCTTCATTTGCAACTCCGGTTGCCCTCATTTGCCTACCTAGTTCTAGAAAATATTATTAATAACTTGGGTACCACAGAGGCACATCCAAACAAGCGACATGAACTCCGTACAGGTGCACAACACATAATCCATTCTGCTCATGGGAGGAAACGCTTAGGCTATGTCTACACTGGCGGCTTCTTGTGCAGGAACATCTTGCGCAAGGGTTTTTCTGCAAGAAGTCTTGCGCAAGAACACATCCACACTGCCATGTGCGAGCTGTGCTTTTGCGCAAGAGAATCCGTGGCAGTGTGGACACTCTCTTGAGCAAGAAAGCTCCAATGACCATTTTAGCCTTAGGAGTTTCTTGTGCAAGAAATCCCTGCCGAGCATCCACACTGCCCTCTTGCACAAGAGAGCTTACACCTGTTAGAAAAGAGCATAGCTCTTGTGCAAGACACCCTCTCTTATCAGGTCATACTGTAAATTTTCTTGCGCAAGAGCAAGCGGGCAGTATGGCTGCTCTGTGGGTTCTTGCACAAGAATGCCTGTACTTGTGCAAGAAACCGCGAGTGTAGACACAGCCTTAGAGGGAACACTTCCCCCAGCCTCTCTGCCCCCGAGTTAATGTCACACACATTGGGTTAATGCAATTGCAGGATAGTTGCATGAGGGGGGTTTGGTGGGGGTCAAACTAATCCCTGTTGGTAGGAGGATGGTGGGAAAAGTCCTTCGAGAGGGCTGACATGACACCTTTTACTTCTGGTCATGTGTCCATCTTGCCCCTAGCGTGTTACCTCTGGAGGTAACGGGGGTCAGAGGGTATGACTAATGGGGGTTGGGGCGTGGTTAATGGGGTTCGGGGGTGTGGCTAATTGGGGTTGGGACGTGGTTAACGTGGATCAGGGGGTGTGGCTAATGGGGCACCACCAAAAATTATACAAATCTGCCAGCCCCGGGAGGAGGAGTGCGTCGGCTGCCTGCACCACAGAAGGTGTGAGTTTAGCGCAGGGTTTTCCCGTGCCATGGGAAAATTCCTGGGCCTCCCCGTTGAAACTTTTGCGTGTTTTTTTTTTTCTCTTTCTCAACCAAAATTGCTGTGGGGCCCCATCGAAATTGTTCGAATTGGGCCCTACACTTCCTAAAGCCGGCACTGTCAATGTGTATCTTCAGGAATTGACAAGCACAGGTCAGGAACCACCTCTTACCTAAGGTATAGAGAATTTAACAGGGTTTTTTCATTATTCCTCCCTAAATACTACTGTAATGACTTTAACGACTGGGGGCTTGAATCTGCTCTCACTCATACTGATGTAAATTACAAGTAATTCTATTTAAATTCCAGAGTAAAACTGTGCAATAAAATCAAGCCTTTAAAATAACCTCATCATTTCCTCCAGCAGCTTCCAATCTAATTTCAACTGGTATTTCAAAGCTTCGTCTTCCCTGAGTTTCAAAGCAAGTTAGGATGTATCTATACCAGTAGGGTTGCCAGATGGTTTCAACAAAAATACCGGACACACTTGACATTACATCACAATCTACATTTCATCTTATTTAGAAAATACCGGACATTTATATTTTCTCAATTTGTTTCCTGAACAGAAAGGTCAAATACTGGACTCTCTGGTTCAAAACCGGACACCTGACAACCCTATATATCAGGGGTGGGCAATAATTTTTTTCTTGAAGTGGCCCCGGGCCGCACTGGAAGGGGTGGGGCCTCAAACAGAAGGAGCGGGGCCTAGATGCTTCCAGCTTCTAAGGGAAATGAGCTCCTCGGAGGACGGGGGCAGAGTAGAGGAAACTTCGTGTGCTTTCCCTTGCTCCCAGGTCCTGATTGGCCTGGGGGCGGGGGAGTATGCGAAGCCTTCTCCCGCCCTGTCAGGAGCGTACAGAGCTTCTAGGTGCCGCGTGCTCCTGGCAGGGTGGACAAAACTTCGTGCACTTCCCTGCCCCCAGACCCTATTTGGCCTAGAGGCAGCAGGGCCTCCGCAGGCCGAATCCAGCCTACCGAGGCCCTTTTGCCCACCCCTGGTCTACACAGCAGTGTTATTTTGAAATAACAATGCGAGCATCTACACAGCAATTCCATTATTTCAAAATAAATTCAAAATATCTGACAGCTTATTTTGAAATCTGTAAACCTCATTGCACAAGGAATAATGCCTCTTTTGAAATAGCTATTTTGAAATAGCTGTAGTGTGGACGCTCCACTGCTTCTTTTTTGAAATAGCTCCTCCCCAGAGCCATTGAAAGTAATTACCCCCCAGTGCTTCCTGGGGCTCTAAATTGAGATAGCATGTCTACATTAGAGGAGCCTGCCTCGGACTACTTTTGAGGCTTCCCTGTAGTGTGGACATGCTATTTTGAAATAAGCTATTTCGGAAAAAAATGAAATGGATTATTTTGAAATAAGACGTACCCTGAATAAACACTTTCTAAACTTGTTTAATTATGGCTGCTGGGGCACGTTTTTGCTGGTTCTAGTGAATAGTCCAAAATATGTTACAATGATAATAAATATATTGTATTCACTGAACTAACATGTTCTTTCCAAACTGAATCAAAAGCCAGTTTAAATAGAAGTCTCTATTGTGGTTTCTGAATCAAGTCAGATGGGGCTTTAGACGCTTCCACCACAGCAAAAAAAAAAAAAAAAACAACCTTGGGAACTGGAGGTTGGGGAGAGGAAAGAGATTGATCTGTCTTCTATTCAGCTCTGCAACAGCTCTTTATTGATTACTGAGTCAGATTCAAGACTTTGGCCTTGATGATCAAAGTTTTAAATGGAAGCAGGCCCCGTATATTGCTCATGATAGTTGGCCTGTGGAACTTGGCAACCTCAAAAGTGAAACTAGTGAGTACTGGAATTGGAGCTGTCTTGGCAGCTTGCCCAGAAACCTGCAACTCATTCCCAGAACGTATGAAATGACCATAACTTTCACCATGGAACAATATGCCGAATATTTCTCGAACCATCAATGTACATGCACAGATGTGTGTAATTGATTTATTTTGCCTTCCTCCTTTTAAAAACTGGGTGAGAGAGAAACTGAAACCTTGTATGTGAGACTATATACAATGCTCAGATACTGCAGAGATTAATAGAGATACTTAGCCTTTCTGCATAATAGTAGAGAAATGCTCCCTGCGTCCTCCTGAGAAAGGCTTTGTGGATTTAGCGGCGAGGAGTCTAGTGGCACCTTATAGACTAACTGAAGTGTTGGAGCATACGCTTTCGTGCAAAGACCCACTTCGTCAGATGCATTTGTGGATTTAGTCACCTTTCTCCCTTTGGAAATTTGGTTCTGTAATCCTATAGATTAAACCTTATAGATCCAAAAGTAAATAACTCCCCAAAGCTTTATAAAGCTTTTCATGCAGAGTGAATGTAAACTACTTGACAGCTATCAAAGTTTAATATGTAAGAGCATGAGACTTAGGAGCCTAGCTCTTTAGAGGATACTGCCTGCAGAGAGCTCTAATTACAGATGTGACAGTAATTTCCGTGTCTTGAAGGGGAACACATAATTGGTGAAATTGTCTCCCCAACCTGTTGCCTTCCTCTTTATACAAATGTTGAATAATCTCTTCATGGTCCTTAAAATTTCATAATTTAAATAATATAGTTATTTGGGACTGAGAGATGAGGTTTGGGATTTGTACACAGGATAATTAAATGCTCTGTTAACCTCACGCCCAGCAAGAAACAGTCTTGTTTGTTAATTAACCATAATAATCAGTTATGTTAATATAAAAATTACCAATTTCTAGCAATTCATGTTGCTGGAGCATTATTGTGTGACATGTAATGACTAACCTTTCTGACTTTATTTCAGAGGAAGACATAATGTTCCAGAAAATCAAAGGATTCTGGATCCCAAAAAAGGACCAATTAAAAAGACTGCAGGAGTGAAACTGCTTCCAAAATTAAAGCACTGACTTAATATGCTTAACAAGAACTTCCAATCATTTTTTATTCTTGTGTCTGTATTTTTAACTAAATTTTCTGAAGAAAAATGAATGTACCACATTGATTTAGGACACATTCCAATAGCAATAGCTACTAATGAAGATATGTGTGTCTCCTAGCAGTTTCAGAGGCTCCCTATTCTGAGGAAAAAGTAGCCCTCTGTAGTCTTGTAAAATGGATCTTCAAGTAGTTCCTGGCTATTGTTCTCTTAATGCTAGTCAAGTCTGACGCTTCCTGGCTTCATTGCTATATGTGAAAACTGAAGTCATGGGAATCAAGTTGGGTGACTCAGGGAATCACTTAAAATAGTAATAGAAATGTAGCCATGTTAGTCTGGTGTAGCTGAAGTAAAATGCAGGACTATGTAGCACTTTAAAGACTAACAAGATGGTTTATTAGATGATGAGCTTTCGTGGGCCAGACCCACTTCCTCAGATCAAATAGTGGAAGAAAATAGTCACAACCATATATACCAAAGGATACAATTTAAAAAAATGAACACATATGAAAAGGACAAATCACATTTCAGAACAGAAGGGGAATGCGGGGGGGGGGAGGAAGGAAGGTAAGTATCTGTGAGTTAATGATATTAGAGGTGGGGAAAGTTAGATGTCTGTGAGCTAATGGTATTAGAGGTGATAATTGGGGAAGCTATCCTGGTAATGGGTAAGATAGTTGGGGTCTTTGTTCAATCCGCCCCCCCGGAGAGTGTCGAATTTTAACATGAATGACAGTCTGAGACATTTGGTATTAGTATGGTATGTCCTGTGGTTGTTGGTAAGAATCATCTTGAAGTTAGGTGGTTGTCTATAGGAGACTATGGTTTTGATCTGGAAGATGCATCAATGTTAGGCCTAGCCTACAAATGACCATACTAAAAGGTTTGTCTTCTGGAAAGCCAGTATCCACAGTGAGCTTAGGAATTTGCATGAAAACTACTGTTTTCAGCTGGGTAGGGCCCTTACTATGTAAACCAAATTGTTAATGTTTTGAGAATTTGCCTAAATAAATATTATGTAAAGATTCTTCAGCATGTACCTATTGTGAATGAAGGGTACTATTATAAAATCCTATGTTTATTTCCTGGTGGCTGGTGTATGTACTTCAGTATATTAAATCTAAACGTACAGACTGATGTTCCATTCTAAGGCCCCTATCCTGAAAGGGGGTCTTTGGTAACATCATTCTTTTAAATTACTGCCATTTAAATAGCCACTGAGGGATTAAGTATTTTCAATTATATCATCAATCTTAACCATGCAGTTGTTGCTGGTAAAGAAATTGCAACAATATTTCAATAACTGAATTTTGACAGTCTTTTTATTTTTTAACTGCAGTACAGCGAAGAGAATGTTTTGGTATTTAAAAGTCAGCCTACTAGATTAGATTTAAAAAGCAGTCTTTAGAATAAATCTGATTGATGGGCTGCTTTTTTTTATTTTAAGAGCTTCTTTAGCTCTTAACTGTATTCATTAAAAGCTTTTTGTCTCTTTAAGAGCAGTGCTAATAGCATAGCTTCTTATCTCTGGTAACATTAAAGTGAGGCTGCAATTAAACTCATACAGAAAGAACATGATGTCATTGCTAAAATGCAAGAAAACAAGAACTGTAATGATATACAGCATATTCATTATGGAAACACTATTTCCTCAACAGGACTGAGATTTATAAGATATTTATACGTTTCCGTGATACAGCTGCCATGGTTCTTTAACAAGCAGACTGGTGTGTCTCATCCTTTTTGCCCTCACAACAGTTGCAAGCCTAGCACTGAGGATTAGGTTAGCATCATTCAGTTCCAGTTTTTCCATATGGAAAGCTTCCAGATTCTGATAGAGTGAGGGGAAACATAATGCCCCTGTTGTCATAAAAAGCAAAGAACATCTGCTATTATGAAGATGATCCCATTCTTAGATACATTCAACAGACAAGCATACTCTTTCCTCTATATCAAGTAGTTGTCAGCATAGTCAATTGTGATCATTTTAATAGCCTTGAAGGAGCTAGAATTTTGCACACGGCTACTGGCAGAACAGCTGTTAGAAATGATTCATTCATAGTGCAAAGTTTTTTCCACCGGTACCATGTGACTAGATGTCACTGAGAACATAAATTTGAAGTTTTATAGTTCAATCGTTTATCGAGTTCTGCTTTCTGCTTGTTACATGGAGGAGTAGCAGAGTAGAATGCTGTGACTACCAGCCAGAGAAGGCAGAGATTAAAAACAGAAAACAAAGCTAACATTTTACAATCTAACAGCAGTTTTCAAATTTAAGATTTACAGGAAGGATAAAAAATTATTCCCCTTAACCTCTGATGATAGGACAAGAAGCAATGGGCTTAAATTGTAGCATGGGGAGTGTAGACTAGACTTTAGGAAAAACTTCGTAGCAGAGTGGTTAATCACTGGAATATATTCCCTAGAAAGGTTGGGGAATTTCCATTTCTGGAGATTTTTAAGAGCAGATTGTGCAAACACCTGTCAAGGATGGTCTGATAATACTTAGTTCCGCCATAAGTGCAGGGGACTGGACTAGTTCTCTCAAGGTCCCTTTGAGTGCATCTACACAGCACCTGAAACTAGAAATAAGATATGCAATTTGCACTACACAAATTTCTTAGCTTATTTCGAGTCTATTTCAAAATAGCTTATTTCATCAGTTGGCGCTGTCTACACAGCACCAAATTTCAAAATAAAGTGCTATTTCGAGCCATCCCTTACTCCTCGTAGAATGAGGTTTACAGAGATGGCGAAATAGCGCATCTGCTATATTCTGAAATGGTGGATGTGTTCAAAAGGCGCAGGGTAGCTATTTTGGGATACCTCTGGTATCCCGAAATAACTTTGCTGTGTAGTCATACCCTTCCGGTCCTACTCCTCTATGAGTAAGCTGCTTATTTAAGCCTTAAACTATTGGGGTTTCAGCAGGTTCATCTTTTATCTATAAACGCTGGTTTGAAAAAAATGATACAAATAGACATGTGCTTAACTCTCAGCAGAGATATATCTTTGAGTTTTCATTTTTTTCTCCTAGCCATTTCCAGCCTAAGAGCAATGTGAGAGACTAGAAAAGAAAATGCTGTTTCTCTGTACAAACAAAAAGAGGGCTCCTTTTATTTCTGGCTACAAGTATGTGGTCTTTTCTTTTCACTTGAATTTAATCCTTGTACTGTTAAATCCTGTGCCATGGTATTTTGTTTTGGCTAGGGGAGGAGGGCTGTAAGAGGTTTTTAATGTTCTTGGTTTGTTTTTATGATTTATTTTTCCTGTATTGTTCAACTTTTAGATTACATCTACACCAGGTTTTCAATCTGAGGGTTTTCTCAAAGCTGCAGCTCTTGGAATCATAGAACCTTAGGGCAAAGAGGGACTTCAAGCAGTGTTCCCTGTAAGCCATGTGCTTGGGCGGCCTCCCAGGAGAGATTCGGGTGCTGAATTAGCACAGCTCCCACAGCCAGCAGCATGTGTTTCTACTGGTGGTGTACATAACAAAATTTATTCCGCACATAGATGAAAAAAAATTAGAGGGAACATTGACTGCAAGGATCATCTAATTCAACCCTCTGCCAACATGCAGGATTTGTTGTGCCTAAATAGTGCAGGTAATATGGTTATGCAGCCTTCTTTTGAAAACCTCCAGGGAAAAAGCTTTCACAATCTTCCAAGGCAGCCTGTTTCTTTGCCCTACTGTTCTTGGAGTTGGGAAATTTTTCCTGAGATTTAATCTAAATCTGCCATGCTGTTGGTTGAACCCATTGCCTCTTGGACTGCCCTCTGTGGCAAAAGAGAGAACAACTTTTCTCTCTCTTTCTTACTGCAGCCCTGCAAATATTTGAAAATCTCCATCATGTCCCCCTTAATCTCCTTTTTTCCAAATAAAACAGACCCACTTCCTTCAGCCTTTGCTCATTTGGCATGTGTTGGAGTACATCCCTTCAATCATCTTTCTCTTTCCCCTCTGGATCCTTTCCAGTTTCTCTCCATGCTTTCTATACAGTGATGATGAAAATTGGAGTTGTGTGAGAGAATCACAGCTTTTAAAGTAGGTAGCCTCATGCTTGCAAAGAAGCTTTAAAACCGGAACAAAAGGCTCAAATACCAGAAGGCAAATAAATCAAGCTGATTATTTTTCAAAATATGATTTTACAGGGCCTGGTTTATTTTAATGCGTTCTTGGCAGTGTTGTATTCCTCTTCTGCAACATAAAAAAGTAGGAACATCCTGGTCCATGAAATGGGTTAGATTGTGATTGTGGAACTGGTTATTATGTAATCAGTTAACACTACCATGAAATGCGGAATTCAGGGATCCTAGTAATAATTATATGCATCCCGAAGCTATTTGTAGCCATAGACAAGATATTTGTGGACTTATTTTGAAGATGGGCTCACTGTACAAGTCAGTAAAGAGATGCATGTGTCATTCCCCTCCTGCTTCTTCAATTTCTTGGAAGTCTTATCTACATTAGGAAAATGAGATGTACTACTCACCCCGATGCAGCTCTGTTGGCAATAGCAACACTGATGACAAGGAAGTAAAAATAAGTAAATAAATCTGTGCCTTACCTACATTATAACTTCTATCAGCGCTGCCACCAGCCGGGAACTCTAGCTAAGGCTGTGAGTACACCTGAAAATTTCCTCATGTTGCAATCTCCTCAGTGCAGCTCTGCTATAGCAAAAAAAATAGAGTTGACTGGTATTTTTACCCTTTACCTAAACGTTGGCCTGGATAACATGGTGGAAAAAATGCTGGTGGCTAGTCTCTGCTAGCACTGGGGCCGGTGCTAGTGACGGGAGATCTTCAGCAACAACTATGTGTAGACAAGACTTCAGTATGCAGCATCCATCCTCTGGGACAGTCTTTGTTCTATGTCAACTTAAACAGCAGACAGCCAAGCCTCTGGCCTGCTTTTCACTAGGGATTCACCGACTTTCAGTTATCATTGTTCAATCCATCAACCAAGGGTGCTAGAACCATTGCAGAAATGGAGGGGCGAATGCAATTACCTGCTCTGGCAGTGAGCCAGGTGCCTTCTCTTTTGGAGCTCCTGGGGGGAGAAAGGTGTAACTGCAATGTCTCCCTGGCAGAATTTATTACTCTGTTGGGGGGGAAAAATCTGCAGATCTCTAGGTTTAGGCATAAAGTTGCCATTTAAACTGGTACAACTCACCTAAGTTAGTAAATTGTACGGTGCAGAGAGAGAGGTTTGCCTTGATCTATGGCTTTCCACTGGTGGCTGAACTCTCCAGCTCAGACCAGGCTGAAGAATCAAGTTCCAAGGGTGGAAGACACTACGTGAAAGGAGACCACTCAGCCCCCTCTTTCAATGGGACAAAGAACTGAGGTGAGCCTCCTGCATGGAGCGC